AGGTGGGAGTTCGCAGCGTCTCTGAGGAAGCGGTGAGACGAGCGTCGCCTCTCCTGAGGAGTCTGCAGCCCCAAAGTGAGCAGAGATGCTGTGAGCTGTAGAACATAGATTCTGTTCCCGTTATTACAGCTTCTTTTCTAACTTTGTTTTCTACAGTCGAACTGGCCAACAGTTTAGCTCTTACTGGTCTGGACAGTCTGGAAAGGAACTTCCCCATCCTGAACCAGTCCACAGATGAGGTGGGTTAGTAACATCCACTGCACTGGAACGGCTACTGGTTTAACTCTGCAAAGTGGCTCTCATCACCAGAGGATGCAGCAGTGGTGGGGGTGGGGCTGCATGGGGATCTAGGCTGAGGCTCTCTGGAGCCTGAATCCAGGAAAGGTTTCCCTCTGAGGGCCTCAGATCTAAGGGTAGAAATAATGGCTGCGGAGTTTTACTGGGAAAAGCTTAAACATGGAGCCGCTGCTGCCAGTAAATAAAGGACTCTGATGATGAACTGTTAGATTCCCTCAGTAATCAGTGAGCTTCATGGTGACCATCTAAACCAGATCTGCTGCTGATCAGGTGCTTCCTCGTCCTCAGGTGATGACTCACTTGAAGGACGCCATCTTCTTGACTCTGGATGATGTCCAGCTTCTTGTGGTGGACGGCCTGGATGGAGCTCTGGATCAGCTGGAGCGAGCGGCCGACGCGGTTCGGATGGCCGTACGGCAGCTGCAGGAATCCCAGGTGGGCCAAGCGGCCACGGCGGGCCTGGACAACATCCTGAGTCTTCTGGAGGACACCACCGCCTACTACCTCCCCCTCCCCCCTACACTGCGTGAGTAAACACTGCTGCTGATGAAGCAGGAGCTGAACTCTGAGGGTCGGCCTGAACTCTGAGGCAGGAACGTTTTCATCTCCAACTATTTATCTGAGGCGTTCCGTGAAATCTGTCTGGGTTTGATTTCCATCCATGTTTCTCTGAATGAAAACTCTTCCCTGACTTTTGACCTGGAGCGCGTTAATGGAGAATTAAACCATTTCTGCCTGGATTGCAGTTTTCATAATCACAGAATAAATGTCAGAACTCCAAGACCAGGAGTCTGCATGGAGGCCACCTGCAGGCTCCTCTGGTACGGAGCTGCAGCGAAGCTTCCAGGCCCCGTTTTAGAAAATGAGGGATCACTCTTTCCTTTATCAAAACGTCCTCCAGCAGACGCCCGTAAGTTTCCCGTATTGCTGTTTTCTAGATGTTATAGTAAAAGCATTGATCTCCTGTCGCTGCCGTCGCAGGTCAAAATTTGATCACCTGAATATGGAGTCAAAAAGAGGTCAAAATGTTTGTGAAATCTTAGTTAAAACTGAAAGAATTAAAAGTTGAAACTGAAGAAATACTAGTTGATTCTGAATGTAATAATCATTTTATAATTAGAGGAACTACAAAAGCTATTGAATCTAAATTTTTCTCCTCAGATGGAAAAAAGTTCTGATTTATTTTACAATTTTAATTACACTTTTTCATTTTTTTTTCTTTTCTTTCCTTCATTATTTAAAACTCTGACAAAGTACTAAAAAAAATCCTGAAACTGAAAAGGAATTGAAAAAAATTTAACTGAAAGAAATGGATTTGAATCTTAAAATATAAAATCTAAAACTGCAAACAAGAAAATAAATAAATAAATAAAAAAGTGTAATTAAAATACTGAACTGAAATATGAGTTTTTTCAAGCTGAGGGAAATAATGTAGATTCAATTTTTATTATTTCATGTTTACTTTTTCAGTTTATTAGATTTTAAGGTAAAAATTTAACATTTAAAATCAACTTCTATTTTTCTGGTTTCAACTTTAAATTATTCAGTTTTGAATAAGATTTATAAGTTTACAAACATTTTGACCCCTTTCTGACTCCATACATTAGGGCCATGAAGTTTCCACGGTTCCTGAACGCAACGATTTAGTCGATGGCGGCGTCTGAAGGCAGCGGCTTACTAAAAAAAAACGCTGATTATGATGATTTACTGTTTGAAAAGATGCACAAAACGAAAAAACAATAAAAGTTGTCTAAGTCTAAAAGAAACAGAAACAAAATAAAAAGGACATTTTTAACAAGAAAAAGTATTATTTATTTTTCTATTTCATTTTATTGTTTTTCCTTTTTAATTTCCTATTTTATTTCAGATTCAATTGTTTTCATTCTCCAATCTTTTTTGTTTCTTTTAAAGATATTCTCTATTTAAAATATTTACTTTAATCTCAGTTATTTATTTTAGTTTAATTAAATGTTTTAATAAACAGTTTTTGGCCCAATCTACCTCCATACTCTGGTCTGTTCCCTCTCATGTCGGCCAGTCGAGTTTCGTGACAAACTTGGTGAATAAAAGTGAATCTGATTCACATCCTGATGCAAATAATCAGCTGAGCTCAGATGATCCGTGTCCAGCCAAGTTCTCCGGGTCACAGCAGCTTCCAGCTCCTGCTCGGTCATTTCTTCATCCTGAAAAGACAGCAGGATGAATTAGCATTTTAAAAACATGAGCAGCTTTAGTTTGAATATTTATACCAGGAGCAAAAAAGAACAAAAGTTGAATAAAAAGTCATTCAGATTTTCATCACCTGAGCCAGTTGCTGTTCTCAGGACCACCAGCAGATGTAGCTGCAGCCTTCCTCTGCTCTCCATCTGTTAGGGCAGCAGAACCGATCAGAGAGCTCTGTGACGTCATGGTGACGTGCATCACAGCCAGGCTGAGCCTCCTCCTCGCCTCCCTGCAGCTATGAGGAGGATGGTGAGGACCATCTGCTGTCCAGTCTGGACCTCCGCCTCCATGTTAGCTCCCCCTGCGGCTCAGAACTCCTGGAGGGTTTCAGCAGAACTTCTTTATCAAAACCTTGAGTAAAAAACGTCACAGAAACGTTCCTCCATCAAGTGCTTGATGTCTCTCCTCAGCTTCATTTGGTTCCATCTTCATCCAGCCCTGCAGGCATCTTCCTCCAGAACGTTCCAGAACTTTCCTCTCATCACCTGAACTGGTTCTGTCTTCTGGTCACTAACCAATCAGGAGGTTTTATTTGTCTTGCTGCTTCAGGCCTGCAGGACACAGCAGATATAACCTCTTCTTTCTCAATCTGGGGGCCTTGGAGGGCTGATTAAAGGGGCCCAGTCATGAACTGTGGTTTAAACCCAGCACTAACCACAGGTCCATTAGGCCAAGCCTTCATCCTGATCATTTGCACCTTTTTAGGCCTACAGATTGTTTTTGTTTAAGGCCCAATCAGCAGTCAAGGACATCGCTGTTCACTATCGCCATCTGCTGGCAGTGCTCACCCATTCATCCATCTGCAGCCTCAGCAGCTTGATGTTTAGAGAACTTCTAATGCTACATTAAGACCGCGCTAGAAGCAGCAGAAGCAGCTGGTTTCCATGTAAAGTCAATGGTTGACGTGCAAGAAGGTGCAGCAGAAGGTCCTGCAGCGCGTTTTTAGCAGTAAAAGCAGAACCTCATGATCTTCTGAGGCGCGTGACGCGCTTCACAAGCAGCAGCTGCTGGAGTTTTAAAGATTGAACTTTAGCTGCTGGTCGTGCCTCATCAACCAATGAGAGCAGCTGATCTGGGAGCTGGCAGGGAGTCAGACGCAGCACTGCTGATGCAGAGCGCTATGATCACTCCTCTGAAACAGTTTATTAACGCCTAAATTAACTTCAAATGTAGAAACCTGCCGGCAGAATATGTTGGCTTTTATTATCCTGCTGCCTGCAGTTTGTAGCACAGACCTGAAAAACGCTAACATCTACTTCCAGCCGCCACCAACAGGAGGGGAAAACCCCCAAGAGGCTCTCGGGCCTGAGGCAGCTGCTGCTGGGGATTCCCAGTGACAGCGCAGCGCCGGTATGTGGGGGTCTGAGCGGCTCCCACAGAGAAATAATCTTTGAAGGCAGGATGGTAATCTGGATGAACTGACTGCACAGACCATGTTTTCAGGAGGACTTTCTCACTTCAACATAGATTCTAACTACTTTCTACCCGCTGATCACAGCTAATATAGCAAAGCCGCTCTCTGGCATCGAACACAGGAGCAGCAGAAGCATCTGGACTCACTTTACTGGACGGCTGACCTTAATGAGGATCAGAGATGAAGCAGCAGGAGCTTCTTTGCTGCTTCCAATTCTTGAGGTCTGAACGTAGCATTTTTCATTGAAATACACCAAGTGACTCTCTCGATTTCATCCGCCATTGTCACAGGCAAAGAAAGGATAGGGTAGCTCCGTCAAAACTGAACTTGTATAAGCATAAAAAAATGAAGCAGCACACACGTTTTTGCTGCCTCTGCTGCGTGCAGTCTGAACATAGCATTAATGGAAAATGCAGACTTGCTTGGGTTCATTACTTCCTTGTTTGTCATTGTGTGTGTGCTCACGTCACACTTCCTGTCGCATGATCGTGTTGTGCTAAATATACAAAACACTGAAGTTTACCAACAAAAGGACCAAAAACAAATATTAAGACAGAAATAGGATAAAATAAGCAGAAATGGGGCCTTGATGTGACTGGAAGGCCTTGGAAAAAACCTGTGTGAGCTACTGGTCTAGTAAGTCATGTATGTGGTCAAACTATGGAGCTCAATTGGGGCCATAAAGTTTCTTCACCAACATTTATTTTTTAAACTGAAAAACAAAAAAATTAAACAGATAATGCTTTAAGCGGTTCTATTTCCCACAGTCCCTGAATGCAACAGCTGGGAATACTTTCAGTCATCAAACCAAACCCAATGTCATCTAAGCCCCACCCCCTTACCGAGCAGGAAGTGGTTGAAAAAACGGAAAAACTCGAGTAAAAAAAGTATTTTTTCTTTTCAGTTACAATTTTTTTTTGTTTTAAAATGTTTTAAAAGTGTTCGTTAAAATATGCGGTATCATCTGAGGGATCAGAGATCATGGCTGCTCACCTCAGGCCCTCTGAGGACGTTCTGAAGATCGGAAAAGTTTCCAATCTGGCCTGTTTTCCAGTGTAGTCCTGTTTCTCTGACTGTGACTAACTGGATGTGCTCTCTTCATCCTCTGACATGGGAGCTGGCTCGGAGCTCGTCTGCCTGGCTGTGTGTTTCCTGGACGGGGCCGCCTGTGGAGCTGGTTGACAGTTGCCTTTTGTATCTATGCTTCTTTTTCTATGTCTGCTTCTGTCTCCTTGAACCCCAGTGGGCCTCAGCAGATGGCCGCTCACACTGAGCCTGGTTCTGCTGGAGGTTTCTTCCTGTTCAAAGGGAGTTTTTCCTCTCCACTGTCGCTACAAGCATGCTTAGTGTGAGGGATTGCTGAAGAGTCAATGAGTCGAGGCAATCAGCTGGTTTTCCTTAGATAGAAAACTTTGAATCAATCTGACTGGATGATCTGGTTGATCTGGATCTATAAAGTGACCCGAGATGACATGATGTGAATTGGAGCTATAGAAATAAACTGAATAGAATTGTGTACCATCCAGATGTTCCTGATGTTCCTGATGTTCCGCAGGTCGTGAGTGGGAGATGAGGGTTCAGGAGTACGAAGATGAAGATGATGGTGATGAGCCCAGCCTTTGGACCAGGGTGCGCAGCCTCCTGCTGACCCTCAGCCTGCAGCTCTACCACCGCATGATGAAGGTCAGGGAGCAGCTGCAGAGATACGCCCGGACACTGGGGGGCGCTGCTGACCAGGTGAGGCCTCACACCTGTGGCCCTGCAGCCACAGATCCAGAACCTGGGCGGTTCTGCTCTCCAGCAACAGGAGAACTAGAATCATAGATCAGTTCTGACAGAACTGATCTATGATAAACAGAAGTCAAAATGTTAAGGAACCCAGACAGTTTAGGATGAATCTAATGAGTCGCTTTCAGTGACGAGTGGAGTTTGAACTTCTGGAAAAGAATCAAGAATAAAAACAGATGAGGTGTTTAATTAAAAAAAAACCAAACAACAGAAAATGAAAAGTCTTTGTTTCTTAAAGATGAAGGAGGATTAGAGTCACCAGGGGGCGCCGCTCTTCCATTAATCACACCTGTTCCACACGTTCAGCCCCCTGGTTCTGGTTCTGGTTCTGGTTCTGGTTCTGGTTCTGGTTCTGGTCCTGGTCCTGGTCCTGGTTCTGGCTCTGGTTCTGGTTCTGGTTCTGGATGCTTACTGGGAATTTCTGTTGTCTCCAGTGAAGAGGAATGTCTCTCCTCTCTCTCTCAGTGTCATCACAGCTCTCTCGCCCCTCACATCCATCTGTCATGATGCGTTCACTGACTCCAGATCACACTCTCACCCCCCACCCAACGAGCTGACGTCATTATCAGGAGGAGGCATCATCCATGATAATAAAAATAATAATGAAAGATGAACTGGGTTTCAAATATTCAGCTCTGTGCTCGAATATTTACATTTCTCTTATTTCATATATTTTTCCTCTTTACTCACTCAGCCTGTTTTACCTGTAAGGCTGAACGATTCCCCAGGTGAGGATGTTTGTAGAGCAGACGTACCTTCTTCCATAACAAACCAGATTCTTTCTCAGGTTTATTCATAACATGTTGCTGTTTAACCAAAGTGTCTGTAATTTATTTTATTTTGACTCTCTAACTTTCCATTATAGTCAGTAAGTAGAAACTAACGCTGCTCAGGCAGAACAGGTCTGATTACCAAGCAATAAGGGCCGCATGATGAACTGTTCTCTCTTTGCAAAGATAAAATACTGAGTGAAATCCATCGATGACAGATTAATCGATTATTGGAATAATCGTCAACTAATTTAGTAATCAATTAATCGTTAACTGGAGTATAGAGACTGTAAATCACGCTTTAAGCTGACAGAACGATCCACTGAGAGCAGGAATTATACCAAGATTTTAAAGAAATATGTAAGCATATAGATATATAGATATATATTTATTTCTTATATAGAAGTTGCATAAGATTGGGTGTAGATATTTCCTCCGTCTCAGAGATAAATGTCGCTGTTTTCTGTCCAGCAGGCGTTTAAAGCTGCAGATCAGAGCGTTTCCCTTTCAGTCCGTTTCACTCGTCAGTTTGTTCTCTGCGGCGTTTCTGGCTGCAGAGATACGGATCAGATGAGCTGCAAGGACTCATTATCCTGAAGCAACAAACAGAGGAGGAGACGTGACCCAGCTGCTCCCTCTGGGTTCGGTTCTTCCTCCCAAACAGAACCTCTGAACGCTCCCAAAGAAGAGAAAGAACATTAGCAGGTATAGAAATCATCCGCTAGATATTCAGTCCTCGTTCTGATGGTTCCTCCTGTTCTATGGCGGACGTTCTGCTCTGGGATGCTTGGATCAAACGTTTAATCAGAAATAACTCAACCGGGTAAAAAAAAATGTCTTATTCTGACATTTAAACTGAATTTTATTAAAAGTCTCCTTTTGAGAGCATAAAATATTTCATGATTCGGCGCATTTAATTCGATTTTCCAGCTGTTTGAAGTTATGGAAAAATCCGGACTTGATCAGGATGAGAAGGAAAATGTTCGTCTCTTCTTGTTCATCTGCTCAGAAGAAAATCCTAAAAAATCTGAAGGAAGTTCAGAAAGTTGAGGCCTGAAAGGCAGGAGGAGATCCAGGAGGAGATCCAGGAGGAGATCCAGGAGGAGATAGCAGCAAATATAGGGAAACAAGAATCCCAACTTTCCTAAAAGAAAAGAACTGATCTGAAATAATAAACAACAAAATCAAACTGAGTTAAAATAATTGTATAATTTTTAATCTAAATCTGATCTAAAACCAAACCGGTTTTCTGCCAACAAATAAAAAAAACCTCAAAGATTTGTCAGAACTTCCTGATCATGTAATTATTAAAAAAATCCAGATTAGTTTGATAAATACAGATAATAAACTTTTATAATCTGTTTTATTCAAAAAACAAAAATAATAAATAAGAAGAAGTAATAAGTAGACCAGTCTGGGGAAAATCCTCAGACAAACCGCCACGCTGTTTCTCATCATCATCATGACTTTATGGTCTGAAAAAGATGAAAATGTTTTATTTCAGTGAGCAGCAGCTTCTGGATCAGAATTATCTGACCTTTGAACTCTGAGCCGCTCTTCGTTTTCTGACACGTAGATCAGATTTAGGAAACAGTTTGTCTGCGGCGGCGCTGGGATGGTTTCCACACAGACGGCGGCGACGTGCCTCCAGGAACAGCGGCTCCATGACGGTTAATTGGTGCAGCTTCCTCTGCAGACGGCTGTAATGGATCCTGAGCTCTGCCTACGTGCCGCTCAGAGCGTCCGCGCTGATGGAGCGATAAGCTGCTGCAGAAAGCTGAGCCGCTGGGGCTGCCATGACAGCCGGGGGGGGGGGGGCAGCTTCCACCTCTGTGGAAAAGTATTCACACCTCCACAGATCTAACTGATAAAATCTAGCTATCTAAAGGCTAACCATGCTAACGTAGCAGGAAAAGCTCCTCCCCTTAATCTGGAATGGTGACTGAACCCATATTTATATCCTCGCTGACCTCAGAGGTTACCAGACCTCCAGAAATGACCCAAACAGAACCTTCCTGACAGCAGGAAGCAGGATTTCAGGCTGGAAAAGGTTCCGGATGCATTTCTAAGTCCAACAAACCACGATCCACAGATGTAGAACACATAGAAGAGGGAAGAACCTTCCCAGGAGAGAAACCGCTCTGCAGGCGTCACCGCCTCAGCTGAGGGTCAGAGGTCATCACACATGGAGACAGAGAGAACTTGCCTCCATGGAGCTTCTAAGGCCGTTCTCAGAATCAGAACCTCATAGCTGGAGTTAAACACGGTGGCGGTAGTGTGATGATGTGGGTCTCCTTGGTTCCATCAGGACCTTGGTTCCGGTCGCTCTGCAGCAGGCCAGCGACCCAAACATCCAGGGATCCAGAACATGGTTCCTACCTCAGAGCAGGTCGCCGGGCCTGCTGGGACCAGAACATCTGGGTAGTTCTGGACTCTAGCAGCAGGTTCTGAAGGAGGAGGTCTAGGCCGGAAATGTGGGCAAATCAGAACCATTCTGAAAAATCAAAGCGGGTCAACATTCCTCCTCAGGGTGGGAACAGTTTTTCACTCAGGATCAGGTCCGTATGGAGAGAAGCTTTAATATGAATAAATGTCTGATATAAAAATGTTTTAGAGGTTTGAGAGGAAACATTTTCCCTGTGGAGCTGATGATGGGATCCTGACAGGCTTTCAGTGAAGGAGGAAGACCTGCTGACCGTCTACCCCCTCCTGAACCATCTCAATGTACCTGAGCAGAACCTGAGCAGAGCCTGAGCAGAACCTGAGCAGAACCTGAGCAGAGCAGATACTCCTGTTGATGGAGCAGATCCTTCTGAGGCCAGAAAACATCAAGATGTTCCTTTAAACGCTTTGAGACGTCCTGCATCCGTCTCAGGCTGCTGCCGCCTCATCAGTTCGTCTCGTTGAGGAGAACTTTGAGCTGTTTATGTTGTTTTCAGCATGTTTGGAGTTTAAACTGGAGCTCCACCCGTTTACTCCATCTGTTCCTCCACATCCCAAACAGAACCTGCTTTTATTTCACTTCCTCAATAACTAAAGGATTCCTTCAAAAAAATATCTAAATATCGATACATCAGAGTTTTAATAAGAATCCAGCATCTATTTAAACCACAACCCATGGCCGCGGGAAGTGCTGAGAGGGAGATTTTTAAAGTTGTAGGGAAATCATATTTAAATGTTAAATCATTCTGGCTTAAACACGTATATAAATGTACTCTAAAAATTTCTATTTAAAAAAAATCCTGTCTTAAAATAATTTTTTCCCCGTTATCTTCTGCAGGCCAGTTAGTTCTACGTCAGCCTGAACACCTAAATTCAGCCAATCATATATCAACGGTCATCTGTCAATCAAATGTTTTCGGTCATAGCATCTTGATTCATATGTCGCAGCTAATATACGCAACGGTTGAAACCAGAATCCTTTCCTTTCCCATTGAGTTGCGTCCCAGTGTTCACGGGGATGGACGTCTGTGTCTTCGGCAGGCGTAGAGCTAACAGAACTGGCAGCGTTGCGAGGCAAGGGCTCAAACATGTACGGCTGGAAGCCTTCTACACCAAACCAAGCTTCTGCCGCCCTGGCGTCCTCTTCCACTACATCTTCGTCCCCGCTTTCCTCCTCTAAATAAAAAATGGATGACGGAGGAGACTCATCCACGACCTCCGACACTAAACTCTCCTCCTCTTGCATGTTTCCGCTGTCCATAGCGTTCCTTGACAGCGTCGTTTCTAAGTCACCAATTTAGTGCTACTTGGTCCCAATGGAATTTCCCATTGGGAACCTGCTAGCACTAAGTTGCTAACTGGTTAGCAATTTAGTGCTACTTGGTCCCAATGGAATTTCCCATTGGGAACCTGCTAGCATTAAGTTGCTAACTGGTTAGCAATTTAGTGCTACTTGGTCCCAATGGAATTTCCCATTGGGAACCTGCTAGCACTAAGTTGCTAACTGGTTAGCAATTTAGTGCTACTTGGTCCCAATGGAATTTCCCATTGGGAACCTGCTAGCACTAAGTTGCTAACTGGTTAGCAATTTAGTGCTACTTGGTCCCAATGGAATTTCCCATTGGGAACCTGCTAGCATTAAGTTGCTAACTGGTTAGCAATTTAGTGCTACTTGGTCCCAATGGAATTTCCCATTGGGAACCTGCTAGCACTAAGTTGCTAACTGGTTAGCAATTT